TTTTTAGAGAGGGTCTCTTGCTCTGTCACGCAGGTTGAAGTGCAGTGGTGTGATCATAGCTAATTGTAGTCTCAAACACCTGAGTTCAAGCGATCTTCCCACCTCATTCTCCTGAGTAGCTGGGACTATAGACACATGCCACCACGCCCAGCTAATTTTCTTTTTTTAATTTTTTGTAGAAACAGGCTCTACTATGTTGCCCAGATTGATCTCAAACTCTGAGCCTCAAGTGATCTTCCAGCCACAGCCTACCAAAGTGCTGGAATTACAGGTGTGAGCCAGTATGCCTGGCTTATGTCTAAGTCTTAAGATTAAAAACAACAACAACTTGACTTCTGTATCTCTTGAGATTTTCTGTCTGCTTCTGTTGGCTGAATTCTGCATTTTTGCCATTATTAAAAATTCTAGATTGTTCTGTAGTTCATAAGCACGATGATTGAGTTTTCATGCTCATGTGTGAGATGTGGCTCACTCCAATCTTGTTACAGTGTTAGCACATTACCTGTCTGATAGGAAGAAAAAAATTCCTAACACTTGCCAAAAAGAAAAGGAAACTCAAGTGGCATATTTTATCAGAATTCTAAATATGTTTATTTGAGTCATATTCTAACTAGCATGATTTTATAAAATACCAATATATCAAAATTTAAGATTTTAACGTATAAATTTGGAATGAATCTTCATGGGATAGGGGTAGGACCAGTGTTGGTATACATATGGTAACTTTATAAAAAGTCTCCTCCTTTGAGTGGGCAGATTATAAAATGGTACCCCTTCCTGCTCTAGGCTTGTTGCCTGATTTCAGCTGTCACTTTACCTATTGGCTAGATGCCCTTGTACTATCTATACAATTGTATATGGTACATTTGAATCAGGAAATACTTTAGTTGCTTTCTTATAAGAGACAAGAGAGGTTTATAAAAAATTACCAAGTAGGAAATTCATATATGGCCACTGTTAACACATATGTTCTTTTCTGGTTTTAAAAGTCGGGTCAATTTGTGCTATTGCTTTTAACTTGCTTCTTATAACTATAAATTAACATCTTACGGAAAGCCTATTACTGAGGAATTTCTATACAATGTTACACATATGTTCTACGTATTATAAAGCCTGAGGGTGTCAAAAGAGGTAGTGGTTGGAGAAAATAAAACTAAGATATTTGGAATTTGTGTTCTGGTGCTTTGCATATAACAAGTACTGAAACCTGTTGGTTGAATGTTAGAATTTCTGAAATAAGTAAAAGTAAACCCTTAAGTTTAAAGGAAGTAGTTTACCTGTCACTTCAGGAACAAATCTATTTTATGAAGCACACTTTATTATTATTAAAGCATTAAAAAATTTCTGATTTTTGTTCCATAGGTATACTGCAACATCCAGATGGCACAGTTTTGAAACAGTTACAACCACCTCCAAGGGGCCCAAGAGAGCTGGAATTCTATAATATGGTAAGTGAGGTAAGATTGTTTCGTTGTATTAAAAGTGTTTTTCAGAGTTGTCTGGTGATGACTCACAGTAAGACACATACTTGACAGCATGGTCACTGTGTGTTTGTAACAGAAACAAAACCTTCATGGAAAACAATGCTTATCTTTATGTGATTCAGTCTAGTATTTTCTATTTCAATTCTTGGATTCTTATTCTGTGCTTGTGGTAGATACTTCTTCTCAGGTTAAGGAAATTGAAATTACCCTCTGTGAGGCAACATTTTGTAAAGAAACGAATGGTATGCTCAGTTGGTTTCATAAAGGAACTGTTTACAAAGGTAGGGTCAGAGCTTATGGCAACATGCAAGAGATGTTATAATGTTATACCATCCCTGGGCCCGATGTGGAGAGAACAGTTCCTGGAACCCAGGGAAGGTAACTTTATGAGAAGATATGACCTGTTAAGGAGGAAGCTAGAGAAGTAAATAACTGACCTCAATTCTTCAACTCTTCTCATACCCTAGAGGGTATCAGAAGTGTCTTATTTTTGCCTTCTAAGGGCAAGAAGGCAAAGGACCTCACTGATGCAGTTGATTTAAGTCAGCCTCTTGGGTAGAGAGGGGTGGAGTGGGAAAGGGACAATACGTAGCATCTTTTCTGTTTTTTTTCTTTTTTTTTTGAGATAGGTCTGGCTCTGTTGCCCAGGCTGGAATACAGTGGCACGATCTCGGTTCATTGCAACCTCTGCCTCCCAGGCTCAAGCTATCTTCCCACCTTAGCCTCTTCCTCCTAGGTAGCTGGAACTATAGGCGTGTGTCACCAAGCCCAGCTAATTCTTGTATTTTTTGTAGAGATGGGATCTCACTTTGTTGCCTAGGCTAGTCTTGAACACCTAGGCTCAAGCGACCCTCTCACTTCAGTATCTCCCCACCCCTACCCCAACCTCCCCACAGTAGCTGGAACTACAGGCACAGGCCAGCATGCATGGCTAATTTTTAAAAAGTTTTTTTGTAGAGATGAGGTTTCACTATGTTCTCCAGGCCGGTCTTGAACTCCTAGGCTCAAGCAATCCTCTTGCCTCTGCCTCCCAAACTTCTGTGATTACAGACATGAGCCATGATGCCTGACCCTTCTAGTTTTAGGAAACAATTTAAAGCATGAATTGAATATTGAATATTTTCCAGCTACCTTTTTGATATCTATTGAAATGATGATGTGAGTTTCCTTCTTTAATCTGTTAATGTGGTGAAATACAAAAATAGATTTCTATATTATCATGTCTGTAATCCCAGCTACTTGGGAGACTGAGGCAGGAAAGTCACTTGAACCCAGGAGGCAGAGGTTGCAGTGAGTCAAGATTGAGCCACTACGCTCCAGCGTTTCAGATTTTTTATTTGTTAGTGTGATAGTACAATACATTTTTTTTTTTTTTTTTTTTTTTTTTGAGATGTGATCTTGCTCTGTTGCCCAGGCTGGAGTGCAGTGGCGCTATCTCTGTACTCACTACAACCTTGGCTTCCCAAGTTCAAGTGATTCTCCTCCCTCAGCCTCTTGAGTAGCTGGGATTACAGGCTCATGCCACCATGCCAGCTAATTTTTGTATTTTTGATGGAGATGGGGTTTCGCCATGTTGGACTAGAACTCCTGGCCTCAGGTAATCCACCTACCTCAGCCCCCCAAAGTACTGGAATTACAGGTGTTAGCCACTGCACCTGGCCTAAATTACCTTTTTAATACAAAATTGCCCACTTGACAAAGCTTTTCCTAGTATTTTAAAACAATTTCTGCTCTGTCAGTTGAGATTCCCTTTTTATTCCTAATATTGTTTATTTGCCGCTTCTCTGTTTTTCTCATATCAGCTTAGCTGCCAGCATTCTTGGAGTTTAGTGGTTGCGGGAAGGAAGGAAGCCAAGTTCAGGATTTAGAATATTATTCACTCTCTATGTTTTAGTATAGTAACTGTCCTCAGCTCTGCCTTGTCCCCGAGTTCTGAGATCCTTTGGTTTAAGTCTTGAGTGAACCTCTGTGAAGCCCAGACATCACTGCTCAGGTTAACACTTTTGTTTCATGCAAAAACTGAGAAGAATTGTACTAAGCATACAAAACTAAGAAGAATTCCCTTTTTTTTCCTTGACAGCCCAGCTATGCATTTAAGAAAATATTTGTTATAGTTTATTCTACATTTCTAGAGAGAAAGATTTTTAGGTTATCTCATCTGGCATATTACAGTAAACACCAGTCCCACTACTTTTAAAAAATATTAAAAATCAGAAGAAAAAATTTATCTCTCTTTCATTTCCATTTCAGAATTAAACTATGAGTAGTTTTAAATGCATATTTTTAATTTTTCCTGTGCCTTTACAGAGATGATGCACACGTGTATCTTACTTAATTTCATTAACCTACTATATATATTTGTATGTAATATGCCTTTTATCTTTTTCATTTTTAAGTACATCATGGAGTTCTTTAGATCAGTACACAGAGATCTGTTTTATTCTTCCGTCTTATAATTAGCTCATCCTCAACTCTGCACCCATGGTCATTGTGTTAGAAATGGAGGGACATTCAGGTATACTTGCTCCAAATTACCCTGGCCTGGAAGTGACTGATATCACTTCTGCTAACATTTCAACAGGGGAGTCTGAGAAATACGGTGTACCACATGGATATTTGGTCTGCCAAGAGTCTGCTACACTTGAGTTTATTCTGAAGAATTATGTTGCATACAGCTACTTGACATTAATATGGTTTGACATATATAATTAGATTCTAAAACAAGTTTTCATAAGCATTTTACACCAGTAAACTTCAGTGAGATAAAAGCAAAACTCCACTTACAGATATAAAATAAATATGTGTTAAAGATTTGCTTTAATATATTGTTTAATGAGGGAACCAGGTAGATTTTAAAACTGATTCAAAAGAGAAGTCAAGGAAACACACATTTATGTGGAATAATGGAAGTTTGAAATGAATTTTCATATGGACATTACATTTCCTCCTCTCAGGATGCATGGAGGAAAGTCCGAAGAACGTCCTCTGACCAGAATTTATTTACATGTCTATGGACAAGAGTCATTTTGCATTTGCTATCAATATTTGTAACTTACAAAGTTGTAAAATAGTCCAAGGACAGTAAAAGGCTAGAATTAGATATCCAAGAAGAGCGTACTCTAAATAATACATAGTTACTCATTGGAGACCCACAGTAATATTTTTTCCTTGTTCCAAATTTACTTGCAATTGAGGCCAAACCAGATGAATTATGATTCAACATAATATATTTTATCTGAGAAATGTGCAGGGCAGTTACAAAGCATTATAGGAACCTAGCAATGTTATATTTCTCTATTTCAGGTTTATGCTGCTGACTGTACTGATGGTGTTCTTCTAGAGCTACGAAAATATTTACCAAAATATTATGGCATCTGGTCACCTCCCACTGCACCAAATGGTAATCTTTTCATAAAAATTATCTTTTAATTCATGAGTGTAGCTTCTTTAAAGGCCTTATGTAAAATTAAAATATGACCTAGTATGTATTACAAAAACACAAAATATGTATGTTTTGCTTTGTAATCTTTCTTTCACTAAATAAAGCTTATTAATACTTTTGTTTTCATAACCATTTTTAAAATGGCATATACAAGTAAATGGTCAATCTCTTATAGTTGAATGGAAGCATAGATACTTAATGCTATCTTGATTTGCAGATGTTCTGTCCTAATTTATTGTGCAGTTTCTTTTCCCATTTTGAGTAATGTTTTAAAAATCAAGAAAAATACTGTCTCTGCATGACTTCCTCCCTATCTCTTAACCTATTCCTTCATCCCTCACCTCTAGGCTTTAAATCACAGTCCTTTAAAAAACACTGGTAAGTGTCATAGAGAATAAAATGACCTAAATAAGGGTGCAGAATTTCTCTTTTTAAAGATTAACTAATACCTGAAGCAGTATTTGCCCCCAGAAGGCCTTTACCAGAGCATGCACAATTTAATTAAACAAGCAGCTTGACTGACTAACCATTGACAAAGGTGAATTGAGGGGAAAGAGCTTCAAACTTCAATGGGTTTAAAAATAACCTGTGGTCTTGTTAAAATGCAAATGTATAAGTCCAACTCCCAGACATTTTTTTTTATACAGGTATATGTTGGAGTATAGTGATATGCTTGTTAAATAAAAGCCATGGGTGTTTCTGATGTGGATAGTTCTTGAAGCACACTTTGAAGACAGAAAGAGAAGGGGATTCCAGTCTGTGCCTGCCTATTCCTTTTGTCAGTTCTTGTCTTCCTATGACTTACTGACTTCATGTGCCAGATTTTGCTAATAGGGAACCCTGGTATCTCTCTGTGAGTCTCCTCAGCTAGCTAATAGTAAATCGATGGCTCCCTTTTATTTAGGATTCCCCTGTACTTTAATTGTATGGAAAAAAAGAAAGTGAGCTGAAGCTCCATCAATTTTCTTTTTTCCTTCCTCCCTCCCTTAATTCCTTCCTTCTTTTTGTGGGCTTACAGGTGTGTATATATATATATTTTTTTATACACACACACACACACACACACACACACAGATACATATTTATCTATGATTCAGATAAACATTTTGCTTAAATTACTTCACAAGTCATTATGATTGCCCCCCAATTTGGTCATTATTCTCTATATAATCTCTCACACATGCCTGTAGAAACTCCTTTGCTTTGTAGACCTTTCCATTTAATGTCTTCCTTTTCTTTCCCCCGTTGTGGTAAGTGGAAGTTTTCAGGAATGCTAGAAATGAGATAAAGGAAAGGAGAAGTTACAATATCTAGATTCCAATGAACATTGCTTCTGATTGCTGTTTAATTTAGAATAAATCATTATTCTTCCATAAAGTGATGCTGAAAAATTAACAAAGGTTGCTGAGGATGGTGTTTGATTAAAAATCTAGATAATTAAATGCTTAGTTTAAAAGATTGTTTGGAAAGAGCATAACTAGCAAACACAGCATAATTACTATGAGTAGAATATACAGAAAGAATTTGGATAAGAGAAGAAATATTTTAATTAAAGATAACATTTTTAGTTTAGGACTACTAACATATGATTTAAATAATCAAAGGATTGCTAGTAATCAATCTTTTTGGCCTTTAATACTATATAATCTTGAAGTTCAGCTATGCTAATATAGAAGGAGCAGTAACTTTGAAGTTAAAATATTTGGCCTCTATCTTGGTTATTTACAAGTTTTGTGAACTTAGCTAACTCAGTAACCTTTTCGAGCTCCACCTTTTCTACAAATAGAAAGTAATACCACAGAGTTGTGAAGATGCATGTTATCTTATGTGAAAATATTGTATAAACTCTAATTCTCTCATTTGAAAATAAATGGAGATATTGGTGCTACTGAGATGAGAGAATGAAGTAAGGAAGCTGAGTGAAGAGAGGAGAAAATATAAACTGAAGGCTAAAAAAGGACAAGGAATAAAGTTATATATGTTAACAGAGTGGTCCAGTAGTACCAACAATTGCCTCAAGTGATTTTCTACTTATTTCTTACTTCCTTAGCTTTGGAAGAAGTTGGACAAAACTGTTGGACCACGCAGATTATTTTTCTTTGATTTTACTAGCAGTTTCATATAATCATCTTTCTGTTTTTATCCTTTTGATTGTAAATGAAAGAAATATAAGATGACAAACTTATGTACATATTTAGCTCACAGGATCATGAAAACATATTTTCTTAAATTTTAGTAGAATACTACGGTTTGCATTATTGTGTTTTATGTGGTCTTAAACTAATGACATTATTTCCTGTTGGTTTTGTTGTTGTTTGGGTGTCTTTTCTTATGTGTTCAGAGTGGAGTTTTATAAAGCTGATATTGTTTTTAATAATACGAAGTAGTAAAATGCTGAAAGCCAACTTGTTCAATAAATTATTACATAATAATAATTTGAAGAATAAGAACGTTCTGACCAATGAGGTTTTTTTCTTTTAATTCTGTTATGGTAGTTTTATTGAGGTATAATTTACATACCATAAAACTCACCCATTTAAAGCATACAACTCAGTGGTTTCTAATATATTCACAGAATTGTACGATCACCACGATTATCTAATTTTAGAACATGAACAGTGGAATTTGAAAAATATAACATTTGTTGGCAATTAGCTTTGAACATTTCAGCCTAGTTATATATAATAAATATCATTTGTACCTGTGTATGAACACATAAAAGGCTATACATGTAGCATCCAAAACGTTTGGGTATAATTATTTGGAGGGACAGAAAAGTATAACATCAAGTAGGTTTGAAAAAATTGAGAGTTTTCAAAATGTAATCTCTAGCATGATTGATTGGCGGTTTTCTGGATCTAGCTACTAGTCATGTTGCAGAAAGCGTGAACTAAAACAAGCTGACATACTTGTTTGTTACATCCCTCTTCCTTTACTCTAAATCTGGGGCCCCAGGTCTCTACTTATTATTCTTTCTGCTTTCAACTTGTGTTGTTCTTAGAAATAGCTGAAGATTGATATGGAAAAGAAAGATCTTGTCTCTTCTATTAGTCCATTTTTCATACTGCTTTAAAGATATTTCCTGAGACTGGATAATTTGTAAAGAGAAGAAGTTTAGTCGACTCACAGTTCTGCATGGCAGAGGAGGCCTCAGGAAACCTATAATCATGGTGGAAGGTGAAGGGGAAGCAAGGCACATCTTAAATGATGGCAGGAGAGAGAAAGTGCAGGGGAAACTGCCACTTTTAAAACCATCATATCTCATGAGAACTCCCTCACTATCATGAGAACAATGTGGGGGAAGACACCCATATAATTCAATCACCCCCCAACCAGGTTCCTCCCTCAGCACGTGGGAATTGCAATTGGAGCTGAGATTTGGGTGGGAGCACAGAGCCAAACCATAATATCTGTTTTTCCAGTTGGCTTCATAATTGAGCAGTGGTTCTTCATCTGGTCTTTCCTCCTTTTTTGTGAGGTTTAGAAATCAAGATGGTAGCTAACACCTAGTAGATTTTCCAGATAGGGTAAGGAAAAACTTAATGAAACTTGAAACCCATATTTTCATAATTTATGAAATCAACAATATTGATTAAGGGGATATCAGTAAGTACTCCTTCAATTCCCTAAATGTCCTCCCTATTGCCTTCCCTTTAAATGAACTAGTTATTTCATCTTTATTATTTAGCTATCTGTAGACTTTTTGAGACTTTTCTGTTGGGCACTTTTTACCTCTTTTTATTAGGGCATCAAGACTAGCTATAGAAAATTAGCTAAAGGAATTTTTTTTATACCTAATGTATTATAAAACAATATATATATTTAACTTATGTTTAAGATAATTATATTTAATTATATATATTTAACAAAATAGAAAAGTTTTCTTCATTCATAGTCACATTATGTAATCTTTATTTTTTATTTTATTTATTTATTTATTTTGAGACAGAATCTCACTCTGTCACCCAGGCTGGAGTTCAGTGGTAGAATCTTGGCTCACTCCAACCTCCACCTCCTGGGTTCAAGGGATTCTTCTGCCACAGCTTACCCTGTAGCCGGGATTATAGGCACACGTCACCACACCCAGCTAATTTTTGTATTTTTAGTAGAGATGGGGTTTCACCATGTTGACCAGGCTGGTCTCGAACCCTTGACCTCGTGACCCACCTGCCTCGGCCTCCCAAAGTACTGGGATTACAGGTGTGAGCCACTGTGCCCAGCCAATTTTTTTTTTTTTTTTTTTTAATTTCAATAGGTTTTTGAGAAACAGGTGGTGTTTGTTTACATGTATAAGTTCTTTAGTGGTGATTTCTGAGATTTTGGCGTACCCATCACCCGAGCAGTGTACCCAATGTGTAGTCTTTCATCCCTCACCCGCCTTCTGCCCTTTCCTCAGAATCCCCAAAGTCCATTGTATTATTCTTATGCCTTTGCATCCTCATAGCTTAGCTCCCACTTATGAATGAGAACATATGATGTTTGGTTTTCCATTCCTGAGTTACTTCATTTAATCTAATGTAATCTTATACTATCATCAGCATCCCGAAATATACAAATATTTTGATCATGAAAACAATATCCTTGGTAATGCCACAGAGAGATCTTATTTAGTCTGCTTAAAACAGCAGAAAGTGTTGTATTTCTTAACACATGGTATTTTCATGGTCTTTACCTCAAAAAAATTAAAGGACTATGGAAATTCTTTATATACTTTCTATAAATTAATAAATGATAGGTTATTGACCATAGCCTCTTAAACATAACTATATTTCTAAACATTGTTACCTTTTGAAATGAACTCCATGTATTTATGAAGAGTAGATGTCCTTTTATTTATTATACAAGTACCAGCATTAAGCTTGACAGACTGTCTCTTAGATCTCTTAGATCCTTAAGACTTCTGCAGGACTGGCTTCATAAGAGTCCTAAATAGAGTTTCCAGAATTATAAAAGTAAAT